CTCCACGATCTTCCTGGGCCGGGGCACGAACCCGAGTCCCCTGCATTGGCAGGTGGACTCTCAACCACTGCGCCACCAGGGAAGCCCCGAGAGTTATGTTTTTTGAAAAAAAGATGACTTCCCAATGATTTTACAAGTAATACATTCTGTAGAAAAGCCTACTTTTAAAAACACTGATATTTCCCCACCACCCAGCCAAACACAGGTATTTTCTCCCAGGTTTTTATTACTCCACACACTGTATTTTCTCAGACAGCTGATGATCAAACTATACAGCCGCTATAAAACCTGTTTTTTATTTATTTATTTATTTTTTGGCCACACCACGTGGCACGTGGGATCTTTCCCACCGAGGGATCGAACCCGCGCTCCCCCCTGCAGTGGAAGCGTGAAGTCTTAACCACTGGACCACCAGGGAAGTCCTATTTTTATTTTTTAAAAACGTAATCCCACATAGTGAACAAAGAATCGCAAAATCCTTGTAAAAAATCATTTTCAATGACCACATCTCACTGAGTAAAGCGCTGGAATCTACTCCACCAACTCCTGGGGGGAAGCCAGGCTGTTTCCTTCTTTTCCCTTTTATAAAGAAAGGCTGAGGGGCTTCTTTTTGCACAGAACTTTACCTGTATAGAACCATCTCCTTAGACTCGATTCCCTAAAGCAAGACGCCGGGTTGAAAAAGCGTACACATCTTTAAGGCAACGTGTAAGAGTGCCCGCTTCACAGCACCATCACCAGAAGGGAGTGTTGTCGTTTTTGCTAATTTGATAGCTTTCATTTGCGTGTTGTTATCAGTGAGATCAAACGTGCTAACTGGCACTGTTTTTTGTGGTTTGTGTTGTTAGTTCGGTTCTTCCCTGGGAAATCTGGAGTCACCAAGTCAGATAGCTGCAGAGAGAACCTCTGCTCACTCTACACCCGTGGTCCTCAACCGGCAGTGTCTGAGATGGCCATGATGGGAGCTGCTGTTGGCATCTAGTGGGTGGAGGCCAGGGACGCTGCTGAACACCCTGCAGTGCACAGGACTGCCCCCAAATGGATTATCCTGGGCCAAACGTCAACTGTGCCCAAGTTGCGAAGGCCTGTTCCTCACCCAGCTCCTTTCCTCAGCCCTCCATGGCCCTCCCTGTCTCTGCTCACGGCGGGGGGACGACCCAGGAAGCAGAGACGGTCTGAGTGGCCTCAGACACTGTGCCCGGTGAAGGAGGGCCCCGCAGTTCTGGGAGATGGTGAGGGTGAGGGTGCGGCCGCTCCCCAGGAGCACGGCCTCCTGTACCTTCTGCTGGCACTTGGGGCACACCCACACGCCCTTGGGTGCTGTCTTGAGGGGCGGGTCCAGGCAGCTGAGGTGGTAGGCCCCTGGGCAGGTACCGCAGGGCTGCAGGTTGGCCCCTCGCTTGCAGGCAGATTGAGAAAGACTAGCCATGATAGCTACCAGAATTGGCTAGCTTGCAACTCCTAGCACCCACCTGCAGAGCTTATTAAAAATTCTAATTTCCAGGCCCATACCAGAGAGTCTGAATCAGCCGGGCTGGGGGTTGGGGGGTGGGGTTCAGGACCTGCCTGGGGCCCAGCTCTTCCGCCAGGGTTCTCAGTAGCTTGGGAGGGGAGGAGGAGGGGTGATGACCAAGGGGGCACAGGCCTGGAAACCAGCAGCATCTGGGTCTCCTGCCTCAAAGCCAGCACCCCTGCAGGTATGTGGGCTCCGCGCAGCAGGACTCGGGCTCAAGGCACCTCCTGTCCCCATGCCCGGGCCGGCCTACAGCTACAGGGTGGCTGCAGACGAAGGCTGCCCGCCACGGCACCGATCTGCGATACTGCAGGGTTATGGCTGTAAACAACACGGCCTAATGGGAGTTTCATCACGTGGTGCTTTTTAGCGGTTTGACTGTTACAGGCATGTAGGGACTGGAAATGTCTTTTACAATTAGATGTGAAACTTAGTAAAGAAAGACACTGAAAATAAACTCTGAAGCCACGCCCACAAATGAGGCCGTGACCAGCCAGCATCCTGGGAAGCAGGGACGTGGTGCATGCGTGGAGGGTTGGGGTCTCGCACGATCATTGAAATGTGGGCGTGTGAGGTGAGACCCTGAGACCCAAGTCCAGTCCCTTATGAGGTAGGGAATGAGGACCAGAGAGGACCAGCTCTGCCCAGGGTCACATAGCGAGGCCAGACAGAACACACTGGCACCCAGCATCGGCTGCTTCCATCCAGGCCTTCGTGGCTCCCGGTGTCCCTGCGTCCGGAGGGCTCCTGCTTGAACCTGCGGGCTGAGCCCTGTGGTGATGTCCAACTCTGCTGGGCAGGCTGAAAAGTGGACTGGTGTTGTACAAAGCACTCAGCACCAAGGACGGAGCCTGAGGCCCTCAGCTCCACTCCAGGGCGGCAGGATGCTGGCGTCCCGCGCCCCTTGGCAGGAGTGACCCTACCTGAACTGTATGGAAAGCATGCCCCCCCTCCCCCAACCAGGCGTGAAGACCAGGGGACACGTACCTTCCAGCAGGGGTCCTCATTGGCTAGCACAGGGAAGAACGGTGGACAGCATGTTAGAGGGCACGGGAGGGGCACCAGTCAGGACTGGAGTCCACGAGGCCCAGTGTGAAAGGAGCCTGATGGGAGTATCACAGGCCCCCGTGACTCCTGGGTCCTCACCCAGGGCCTGATGGGAGTATCACAGGCCCCAGTGACTCCTGGGTCCTCACCCAGGGCCTGATGGGAGTGTCACAGGCCCCAGTGACTCTTGGGTCAGCCTGATGGGAGTATCACAGGCCCCAGTGACTCCTGGGTCCTCACCCAGGGCCTGATGGGAGTGTCACAGGCCCCAGTGACTCCTGGGTCCTTACCCAGGGCCTGATGGGAGCGTCACAGGCCCCAGTGACTCCTGGGTCCTTACCCAGGGCCTGATGGGAGCGTCACAGGCCCCAGTGACTCCTGGGTCCTTACCCAGGGCCTGATGGGAGCGTCACAGGCCCCAGTGACTCCTGGGTCCTTACCCAGGGCCTGATGGGAGCGTCACAGGCCCCAGTGACTCCTGGGTCCTTACCCAGGGCCTGATGGGAGCGTCACAGGCCCCAGTGACTCCTGGGTCCTTACCCAGGGCCTGATGGGAGCGTCACAGGCCCCAGTGACTCCTGGGTCCTTACCCAGGGCCTGATGGGAGCGTCACAGGCCCCAGTGACTCCTGGGTCCTTACCCAGGGCCTGATGGGAGCGTCACAGGCCCCAGTGACTCCTGGGTCCTTACCCAGGGCCTGATGGGAGCGTCACAGGCCCCAGTGACTCCTGGGTCCTTACCCAGGGCCTGATGGGAGCGTCACAGGCCCCAGTGACTCCTGGGTCCTTACCCAGGGCCTGATGGGAGCGTCACAGGCCCCAGTGACTCCTGGGTCCTTACCCAGGGCCTGATGGGAGCGTCACAGGCCCCAGTGACTCCTGGGTCCTTACCCAGGGCCTGATGGGAGCGTCACAGGCCCCAGTGACTCCTGGGTCCTTACCCAGGGCCTGATGGGAGCGTCACAGGCCCCAGTGACTCCTGGGTCCTTACCCAGGGCCTGATGGGAGCGTCACAGGCCCCAGTGACTCCTGGGTCCTTACCCAGGGCCTGATGGGAGCGTCACAGGCCCCAGTGACTCCTGGGTCCTTACCCAGGGCCTGATGGGAGCGTCACAGGCCCCAGTGACTCCTGGGTCCTTACCCAGGGCCTGATGGGAGCGTCACAGGCCCCAGTGACTCCTGGGTCCTTACCCAGGGCCTGATGGGAGCGTCACAGGCCCCAGTGACTCCTGGGTCCTTACCCAGGGCCTGATGGGAGCGTCACAGGCCCCAGTGACTCCTGGGTCCTTACCCAGGGCCTGATGGGAGCGTCACAGGCCCCAGTGACTCCTGGGTCCTTACCCAGGGCCTGATGGGAGCGTCACAGGCCCCAGTGACTCCTGGGTCCTTACCCAGGGCCTGATGGGAGCGTCACAGGCCCCAGTGACTCCTGGGTCCTTACCCAGGGCCTGATGGGAGCGTCACAGGCCCCAGTGACTCCTGGGTCCTTACCCAGGGCCTGATGGGAGCGTCACAGGCCCCAGTGACTCCTGGGTCCTTACCCAGGGCCTGATGGGAGCGTCACAGGCCCCAGTGACTCCTGGGTCCTTACCCAGGGCCTGATGGGAGCGTCACAGGCCCCAGTGACTCCTGGGTCCTTACCCAGGGCCTGATGGGAGCGTCACAGGCCCCAGTGACTCCTGGGTCCTTACCCAGGGCCTGATGGGAGCGTCACAGGCCCCAGTGACTCCTGGGTCCTTACCCAGGGCCTGATGGGAGCGTCACAGGCCCCAGTGACTCCTGGGTCCTTACCCAGGGCCTGATGGGAGCGTCACAGGCCCCAGTGACTCCTGGGTCCTTACCCAGGGCCTGATGGGAGCGTCACAGGCCCCAGTGACTCCTGGGTCCTTACCCAGGGCCTGATGGGAGCGTCACAGGCCCCAGTGACTCCTGGGTCCTTACCCAGGGCCTGATGGGAGCGTCACAGGCCCCAGTGACTCCTGGGTCCTTACCCAGGGCCTGATGGGAGCGTCACAGGCCCCAGTGACTCCTGGGTCCTTACCCAGGGCCTGATGGGAGCGTCACAGGCCCCAGTGACTCCTGGGTCCTTACCCAGGGCCTGATGGGAGCGTCACAGGCCCCAGTGACTCCTGGGTCCTTACCCAGGGCCTGATGGGAGCGTCACAGGCCCCAGTGACTCCTGGGTCCTTACCCAGGGCCTGATGGGAGCGTCACAGGCCCCAGTGACTCCTGGGTCCTTACCCAGGGCCTGATGGGAGCGTCACAGGCCCCAGTGACTCCTGGGTCCTTACCCAGGGCCTGATGGGAGCGTCACAGGCCCCAGTGACTCCTGGGTCCTTACCCAGGGCCTGATGGGAGCGTCACAGGCCCCAGTGACTCCTGGGTCCTTACCCAGGGCCTGATGGGAGCGTCACAGGCCCCAGTGACTCCTGGGTCCTTACCCAGGGCCTGATGGGAGCGTCACAGGCCCCAGTGACTCCTGGGTCCTTACCCAGGGCCTGATGGGAGCGTCACAGGCCCCAGTGACTCCTGGGTCCTTACCCAGGGCCTGATGGGAGCGTCACAGGCCCCAGTGACTCCTGGGTCCTTACCCAGGGCCTGATGGGAGCGTCACAGGCCCCAGTGACTCCTGGGTCCTTACCCAGGGCCTGATGGGAGCGTCACAGGCCCCAGTGACTCCTGGGTCCTTACCCAGGGCCTGATGGGAGCGTCACAGGCCCCAGTGACTCCTGGGTCCTTACCCAGGGCCTGATGGGAGCGTCACAGGCCCCAGTGACTCCTGGGTCCTTACCCAGGGCCTGATGGGAGCGTCACAGGCCCCAGTGACTCCTGGGTCCTTACCCAGGGCCTGATGGGAGCGTCACAGGCCCCAGTGACTCCTGGGTCCTTACCCAGGGCCTGATGGGAGCGTCACAGGCCCCAGTGACTCCTGGGTCCTTACCCAGGGCCTGATGGGAGCGTCACAGGCCCCAGTGACTCCTGGGTCCTTACCCAGGGCCTGATGGGAGCGTCACAGGCCCCAGTGACTCCTGGGTCCTTACCCAGGGCCTGATGGGAGCGTCACAGGCCCCAGTGACTCCTGGGTCCTTACCCAGGGCCTGATGGGAGCGTCACAGGCCCCAGTGACTCCTGGGTCCTTACCCAGGGCCTGATGGGAGCGTCACAGGCCCCAGTGACTCCTGGGTCCTTACCCAGGGCCTGATGGGAGCGTCACAGGCCCCAGTGACTCCTGGGTCCTTACCCAGGGCCTGATGGGAGCGTCACAGGCCCCAGTGACTCCTGGGTCCTTACCCAGGGCCTGATGGGAGCGTCACAGGCCCCAGTGACTCCTGGGTCCTTACCCAGGGCCTGATGGGAGCGTCACAGGCCCCAGTGACTCCTGGGTCCTTACCCAGGGCCTGATGGGAGCGTCACAGGCCCCAGTGACTCCTGGGTCCTTACCCAGGGCCTGATGGGAGCGTCACAGGCCCCAGTGACTCCTGGGTCCTTACCCAGGGCCTGATGGGAGCGTCACAGGCCCCAGTGACTCCTGGGTCCTTACCCAGGGCCTGATGGGAGCGTCACAGGCCCCAGTGACTCCTGGGTCCTTACCCAGGGCCTGATGGGAGCGTCACAGGCCCCAGTGACTCCTGGGTCCTTACCCAGGGCCTGATGGGAGCGTCACAGGCCCCAGTGACTCCTGGGTCCTTACCCAGGGCCTGATGGGAGCGTCACAGGCCCCAGTGACTCCTGGGTCCTTACCCAGGGCCTGATGGGAGCGTCACAGGCCCCAGTGACTCCTGGGTCCTTACCCAGGGCCTGATGGGAGCGTCACAGGCCCCAGTGACTCCTGGGTCCTTACCCAGGGCCTGATGGGAGCGTCACAGGCCCCAGTGACTCCTGGGTCCTTACCCAGGGCCTGATGGGAGCGTCACAGGCCCCAGTGACTCCTGGGTCCTTACCCAGGGCCTGATGGGAGCGTCACAGGCCCCAGTGACTCCTGGGTCCTTACCCAGGGCCTGATGGGAGCGTCACAGGCCCCAGTGACTCCTGGGTCCTTACCCAGGGCCTGATGGGAGCGTCACAGGCCCCAGTGACTCCTGGGTCCTTACCCAGGGCCTGATGGGAGCGTCACAGGCCCCAGTGACTCCTGGGTCCTTACCCAGGGCCTGATGGGAGCGTCACAGGCCCCAGTGACTCCTGGGTCCTTACCCAGGGCCTGATGGGAGCGTCACAGGCCCCAGTGACTCCTGGGTCCTTACCCAGGGCCTGATGGGAGCGTCACAGGCCCCAGTGACTCCTGGGTCCTTACCCAGGGCCTGATGGGAGCGTCACAGGCCCCAGTGACTCCTGGGTCCTCACCCAGGGCCTGATGGGAGTGTCACAGGCCCCAGTGACTCCTCGGTCCTCACCCAGGGCCTGATGGCAGTATCACAGGCCCCAGTGACACCTGGGTTCTCATCCAGGGCACCGTGGAAGTAAAGGTCTCTGCCCCAGTCACGGCCAGGACCCACCCAGAGACAGGTTCATCGTGGCCCCTGAGCTCCCTGAGGCACATGGCAGCAGTAAGCTGTCCTGCGGAGGAAACATTGCTCCAGGGATCCCTCAGAGTGACTTACTGTCAACTCGTCTTCAGCCATAAAGCACTTCCATTCTAGTGAGTGATGCCAAACCACATATTTTAATGATCACAAAAAATAGTTTTCTTTTTAATTTCTGGAAATCATACCATCCAGTGGGAAAAACAGTTCCTGCGTGTACACAGCACTCGATGGTTTACAAAGTGCTGTCATGTTCACCCCTCCTGTCACTGTCGCAGCTCTGAGAGGCCGGGACTATTATGGGCCCGTTTTATATAGATCAGCAAACCAAGTCCCAGGGAGGTAACGTGGTATGTGAGGAAAAGCGTGGCCATGGCGCAGAGGGCCTGGTGAGCTGTGATGCGCTATCCACCAGTCAGCAGCTATGTGGCCGCTGCTGTGGACAGGGCAGGCTGGGTAGCCGGGCCGCTGCCAGTGGAGGGAGTTATGGCCCAGCCCAGCCCCACAGCTGCCCTGCGGGAGAAGCACTTACCTCTTGCTGTGAGGAACAGGGGGGTGTTGAGATAGTTGGACGCCAGCCGCTTCCTCTGCAGGGGACAGAAAACCAAACCAAACCACCAGATCACAGGGAGCCCTCCTCGGCGACACTGACCCCGCCCAGGGCTCACCCAGGACAGGCTCCCCATCCTGGGCTCCGGACTCCAGCTGGACACCCACGGCCAGAGGCAGAAACGGGTACAGACACAGGGACGTGGGGAGGGGGAGAGACAGGTCGGCCAGGGCAAAAGCCAGCAAAGGCTCTGCCCAACGGGTCCGTCCCTGCTCCCCGTGGGCACATCTGCCTCATTCAGGAAGGACGGTTAGGGCTCTCCGATTGGGGCAAATCAGTAACAAAGCTGACACGTGGCTGTCCCTCTGTGTTCCTCCTGTATTTTCTTTCTCAGCTGGTTCTGGGGTCAGATGGGGAAATGAGGTGTATTATGGACTGGCTCACTAAACCCCACTTCTTGGCATGAGTTCCAGGAACCCTGACAACAAAGAGTGGCCCCTGGTGCCCAAAACATCACGGGTAGATGGAAGTTCCTGGTATATTCCAGAAGGTGGCCTTAGTCCTGGGCTTTAGCAACCACAGGCCACGTGGGTTCAGACTTTGGTGGTTTGACATGGTTTTGGCTGTGACAAGAAGATGGTTCTAGACTTGGGTGACGGACTGTAAACCCATCTCTCTCAACGTGATTGGGCCGTGTTCAGGGCCAAGGGAGGGACCCACGGAAGGGCTGCTCCTGGGCTACGTATGTGTCCAGGGCTCAAGGTCACAGGGCTTTGAGTCGGTTCTTGATTCGCTAATCAGGTCATCTCTGGCTGTGGCCACAGGCTTCGGAGAAGAGGTCACGGCCATGCCCACAGAGCAGGGGATGCTTCCATCAGTGAGCACGACCAGGGGGACAGTGCCTGTAGCATACAGAGGACACACCGTCTCCTTGGGTGGAGATGCAGAAACGGCTCCGTGACTCTCACAAATGGGGCCCAGCGCTTGGGGCCCTGTCTCAGGACATGGCTTGCTCAGAAAATTGGGGAGGAAGTGAGCAGGTATAAACACGTGTGTTCTCCGAGCAGGAGTGGGGGACAGTACGAGCAAGGACAGGTGGGCGGGCCGGGGAGCCAGGCGACACAGACACAGGTGGGCTCTCCCCACAGGGCCACCCACGGGAGCCTCCCTCCCAGTGAGGGCCAGTTTCTGAGCCATAGATTTGGGACCACTGGCCCCGGCTGACGAACACCCCCGGGGAAGCGAGCACGGCATTTCGATGACCCTCGTCCAGGCCCTGCAGACTGTTGCTGGCCTCTGGAATGTGCCAGGCCCTGGCCTCTGCAGACACGGCTCCACGTCAGGGGGCTGCCCGACTGCAGGGCCTTCAGGCAATGGCTTCCATTCTACGGGAAGATTCCACGGAGTTTTCCCTAGGAAAGCCCAGAGTATCTGGGAAAGGCCGCTGGCAGCCTCTGCAGAGCCGGCTTCTGGGAGATGACATCTGGATTTTAGCCTAGAATTCTGGACTTTTAATTTGCAAAGGCAAGAAGATCTCATTCTGGATTCAGTTCCTCCCTGGGAATGTGCTGATGGGAGGGGGCCAAGGCGCTCCCTGGAAGGCATCCTTAAGTCCTGACACTGCATCACGGGCTGGTGTTTGGTTACTCTCATCATCTCCTTACAGGACCGCAGCGGGCCCCGGGTGGGCAGTCTGGACGGGATTTGGATTGGGAGGGACTTCCCTGCCTTGGAGTTCACTTTAATGCCCTATTTTACCAGTTTCGGCTACCCGGGGCAAGTGCACGCTGCCCACCATGAGAAAGCAGTCTTGGAGCCGGGGTACCGCCATGTGAAGGGCAGCTGGGCTCAGTGCGTCGGGAGGAGGGAAAGCCGGGCACGCCAGGCCACGTCTCTTGTTCCTGGCCTCGCGCCTCCACGCAGAGGGAAGTCAGCTGGAGTCACGGCCCGCTCCCTTCCCTCCTCCCCGGGGGAGACAAGGAACCACCCTCACTCAGGCCAGCCCCTTCCGGGCCTCTCTCTCTGTGGCCTCACATTCTTGGCTCTCCAAGTCATGAGCTCCACTGAGCCGGCCGGGCTCCAAAGTTGGGCCTGAGTGGTCCCAGGAGGCCCAGGTGGCCAGCACTGCCTGCGACCAGACCTCCTGCCGGATAATGTGCAACCGGCATCCCGACCACACCCCCCAGGGCAGCCCAGGTGAGGTGCCCCACTGACATCCCATCCTCTGCATCTATCTCTCAATTGCTTCTGAGCCCAGGAGGTAAAGAAGGAATTATTGATGGCACTCCCTGAGCTCTAATGCCTGGAGCGGCAGGTGAGGGAGGCCAGCCCGGGGGAGCCTCCCCATTCGCTGGTGTGGAGGAGGCGGGCCCCTCACCTCTGTCTCCAGGAGGCCGCTGTAGGCGGGGTTCGCTGTGCTTCGTCTCTTCCGCTCCTGGCGCTTGCTCTGGATTTCTGGAAAAAGGCACAGATGCAGCAGTTACTGGCATCTTCCTGCCCCAGGACGCTGGATGCCTCCTCTGCAAACCCCGGGCGCCACCAACCCTTCCTGCCCTGCAGCCTCTCTGCCCAGCATCCACAACCCAGAGTGGCCCCGGGCGGGTGGGTGCCCCCCGGAATCGCTCACTCTGAGGCAGGATAGACCTGCTGGCCCCAGGCTGAAGGACTGACTGGTGGGAGGTACCCAGAACCCAGGCACCTGCTCTCAGCAAGGCCCCGTGTGCCGTCCTCCGGCCCGGGGATGTCTCTCATGGGACTCTGGGGACAGCAGATGCCCACTGGTCAGACGCTGGCCTGGCTGAGCTGCCGGGTGGGACTCCAGGCTCCTGGGAAGGGCAGGTGCAGCCTCTGTTCGGCAGCCTGACCCCCAGGACGCCAGGCACGAGTCCTCCGGATGGGGGCCGGCGTGGTGGGCCTCATGCAGCTCGAGAACTGGGTTCCCTCCCTCTTCTCATTTTCATTTTCTTCCTTTGCTATGACTGCCGGGTGGGCCCTGTCTCTCTGTGTGTAGCTGTTTTGATATTATTTCCGAATCTCTGTCTCTTGGACCTGATTTCTTCTTTGAAACTGTTTCAGTATTATTCGTGTGTTTCCTGTAAGGCACCTCACACCCTCTTTGGGAAAAGACAGGGTCCAAATAAATAAGTATTTAGGGTATCACGGGCGAGAGGGAGTTTTCACAATGAGGATGATTTATAAAAATCATAACATTCCCAAATGTATTCACAGAGTGCTTTTATCTCAGTTGCCACGACACCCCTGAGAAGTCTGAAGATGTGGTTTTCCTCACGTTGTAGATGAAGAGACTGAGGTTCAGAGTGGGGAAGGAGCCTGCCCAAGGTCACCCAGCTGTAAGCAGCACGGCCAGGACTTGAACACGGGACTTCTGACATGGATGTGCAGGCCAGTCCCACTGCCCCAGGCTGCCTCCATGACCCCAAAGGCAGAGCATAAATAGCTCTCAAAGCCTGCCAAGCACAGCTGGATTCCTTACACTCAAGTTCAAGCAGGAGTATTCAGACATTCAGATGGAAAGCTCAGAGAACCCCTTCCAGCCCTGCACAGCAGAAGGAAGGGGGTCGTGAGCAGGGGCTGCTCAGATGAGATTTGCCCACTGGGGCCAGATCAGTGGAGCCTGGGGGGCTGGGGGGCTGGGCCACACCCCTGTCCCGCTCCACCCAGATCTACACCCCAGTGGCTGCCAGAGAGCGAGTCAGACCCAGGGAATGCAAACGGAGGTGGCCGTGGAAAGGCCTGGACCCACCTCCTGGGCACGTTTGACTCAGTTGTGCACGGGAGGCCCGGGCGAGCTGTGTGGGCTCCCCAGGTCCCTTCCCTTCCCTGGGCTTCAGTTACTCACCTGCTGTGATGGAGAGAACCTCCACCTGAGATTAAAGCCTGTAAGTGCCTCGGGCACTGGAGGATTCAGTTCATTCCCTTCTTTTCCTCGATTTTGAGGAGGAAAAGCAAGTTAGTTTTCCTTCCCAAATCCAGATTTACTTGGGGCGTAGGGATGTTTTCACTTTATAAAATATCTTTAGCGGTGAGGTCAGAATCGTGGAGAACACCCTGAGTTGGGAGTCAGGAGACCTGGATTCCAGCCTGGGCCTGATACTGACTGGCTGTGGGACCTCGAGCAAGAGAATCAACTTCTCTGGCCTCAGCTTCCCCACAAGTGCAACCAGAAGGTTGGTTTCCATGCTTTCCAGGCCCTTAGATTCTATGACAATGCACAGAGCTCGTTTGCGATTGATCCCATCGGTAAAGTCAAACAGCACCTGTAGTGTTACACTGACCTGTCTGCTCAAATAATGTTCTGATTTCCACCGATGAGTTTGGGGGCACACAGGGCCCCATGGACCAGTTCGACAGCAGGGGAGGTGGTGCTGGGCACTCCTCTTGGTTCTTTACAACAATCCCAGGAGGAAGGGTGGGTTACTATCCCATTACACAGACAGAGAAACTGAGGCCCAGAGGAGCTGGGTGACTTGCCCAAGCCTGAGTAGTTAGTAACGGCCGAGCTGGGCACCTTGCTCTTATCACTTCACTGTGCTGCCTCCAACTCGGGGCCAGGGAATGCACAAGGCCCCTTCAATAGACACAGTCGGTTTTGTGCACAGTCACAAGCTGGGAGAGCAGGCAGGCGCCCTGGTCTTTGTGATGACCACCTGGCACTCGGCACCAACCGCGCAGAAGGTGGGTCACACCCGGGTGCTGCCATCTGATCGGGAATCCGAGACCCACTGCTTCTGTCTCATACCAATTCAGCAACCCCCTGCCCCATCCCGCGGGCCAGGCCCAGCTCCGCCACAAGGGTCCTCACCTTCCAGATGCTCCGTCGTCACCAGGCCCAGCGCTACCATGAAGGCGATTTTCTGAGGGAAGGAAACAGAGAAGGGTTAACGTGGCTTTTCTATTTTGGGTTTCCTTAGTTTTCATTTCATGCTCTTTCTCCGTCCCAGGACCCCACCCAGGACCCCATATGATGTCAGTCATCCTGTCTCCTTAGCTCCTCTGGGCTGTGACGGTTTCTCAGACGGTCCTTCTTTTGGATGACCTTGGCCGTTTGAGGAGGACTGACCAGGAATTTTGTAGGCAGACCCTTGTCTGGGATTTGCCTGGTGTTTTTCTCAGGATTAGACTGGGGTCCTGGGTTTTGCAGGGAGACCACAGAGGTGAAGGGCCCTCATCCCATCCCCTCGGCGCGCTGCACGCGCCGTCAACATGGCTGATCACCGTGACGTTGACCTTGATCACCTGGCTGAGGTGTGGTTATCAGGCGTCTGCTCTGCAAAGTTCCTCTTTACCCCACCCCCGTCCCCCTGTCACCTTTGGGAGGAGGTCACTACGCACGGCCCACATCTAGGGAGGTGGGGATTAGGTCCCACTGGTGCTTTTTTTTTGGCCATATAGACTTTTAAAAAATTGTACGTAGTAGAATTTATCAGTATTTTCTTTTGCAGTGTCTGGATTTTTGCATCTTAGCTACAGACTGTGAGTTTAGAGAGCAAGTTGCTTATGTTTTATCTTAGTACCTAGAGTTTCAGTTTTTCCATTTAAATTTTTGATCTATTTGGCATTCATCCTGTTGTATATGGCATATGTGGATTCATTTTATTCCATGTGGCCACTCGTTTTTTCCAATACCATTGATTGAAAATTCCATCTCTCCGCTTTTCACTGATTTGAGTGAATCATACACTAGATTATCTCACACACACACACACACACACACACACACACACACACACACACAGACACACAGCCCTCTATTCCGTTCCTTAAATCTTCCCATCTATTCATGAGCTACCACCTCACTTTTAGTTCTCAAGGCTTTACAGTAATCTGATAGCATTAGAATCCCGTCCCTGTTTTTTCCTGTTCTGAGCTTCCTCGGCTCTTCTTGTTTATTTATTTATTTATTTTTTTAATTTTTTTTTTTTGTGGTACGTGGGCCTCTCACTGCTGTGGCCTCTCCCGTTGCGGAGCACAGGCTCCGGACGCGCAGGCCCAGCGGCCATGGCTCACGGGCCCAGCCGCTCCGCGGCGGGTGGGAGCCTCCCAGACCGGGGCACGAACCCATGTCCCCTGCATCGGCAGGCGGACTCTCAGCCACTGCGCCACCAGGGAAGCCCTTCTTGTTTATTTTTTCATGTGAAATTTAGAAACCATCTTCGGTGGTTCTGAGAATGAGGGAATCAGTTGGTATATTTCCTGGGATGATGCTAAAATTATAAATTAACTTAGGACATAATGACAACCTAATAATATGAAATTTTCCTCTCCCAAACCACAAGGTGCTTCTGTTCTTTGTCTTAAGGAGTTTCAAACTTTTCCTCAAACAGGTACTGATTATCACGTTTATTCCTTGGCATTTCATCCTTCTGTTGCAATCGCAAATGCAGTTGTCTAGAAAGCTTCTAACAGGTTGCTACGTGTTTCTCTAAAGACTACTGACGTTTTTAAGTTATCACACCCACCGCCACGCTGAATTCTCGTATTGTCTGCAGCAGTTTTTCCATTGAGAGTCTCCTGGGTTTTCTACAGCGTCTCAAATAGCGGCTGTTTACTCCTTCTTTCCAGTTTTTACCTCAACGCTGTTGAAACTAGTTTGCCTCAATTTGTCAGCTTTAAATCATATTCTTCGATCCGCTGACAGTTCCAACTCTACAAACGTGACAATCTGAGTGCTTATTCCTTCTCTCCCTCGCTCTCTGTTCACTTAGGTGAATCTTACACATTAATATTTATGTGTCATCTTATACAGGTAATATTTACATTCTGTTCCAGCACCCTTATCCTGTTTGTTTTACTCTGTAGTTA